CCGGCCGAGGCTTGCACTGCCAGCAGTGGCAGCAGCAGAGGTGTGATGGGGCATCGCCTTCCCCTGATCGTCGGGTCGCCTCCCATCCCTGAGGGCTCCTGGACTGTGAGAGGGGGCAGGCCTGGCTGAGGGACCCGCCTTCTCCAGTGCATGAATTTTCATGCACCGGGCCTCTAGTCTATATATATAAAAGCCTAAGCGACCGTTACAACCAAATGACCAGAACAACTGGAATGACCGGTCGACCAGTTGCTATGATGTGCACTGACCAATAGGGGGCAGACACTCAACGCAAGGGCTGCCCCCTGGTGGTCATTGCGCTCCCACAGCCAACCTCCCACGGCCTATTACCCCGTCCAGCTGGCCAACCTCCTGTGGCCCCTCCCCCCTGCCAGCTGGCCCCCTGATAGGCTCTGATCTTGGGGCTGGCTTGCCACCTTCCCAGGTTTCTTCCTCCTGGTCAGCCCCCTGATAGGCTCAATTGCTGGCCAGGCCGAGGGACCCCACCCATGCACAAATTTGTGCACCAGGCCTCTAGTAGGACTATAAAACTATACTTCCTTATATTTGCATGTAAGTTTGCTGTTAAAATGTGAATCTCTAAATGTGTGTTTGGAATTATATCTGCAGTTTATTTCTGCAGACAGTGTAAATTTGTTATATGTGTGAGTGTACATCCATATGTATATTTTGCAGTAACATAAAATTTAAAGGGAACAATCCTGTGTAGCTCTTTCAACAGTTAGCTTTAAATTATTGATGTTTATATCTAGGGACTCTTGACAAACTGAGGGCGGTTTTAATAGTGGAGAATCAATGGTTATTAGCAGGTGAGGTAACATTAAAAATGGCGGTGGGAGATATCTCATTGTGGGTGATTAGGTGGAAAACCCAGGGACAGAACCAGCATGTTGAAGCTATGTTGTTATATGGTAACTTGCCTATAAAACTGGATGTAGGAAAATACTGGGTGTTAAGAATGCATGCTGTTTTGCTGTAGAAACAAAAGAAAAACCAAAAAGATAAATTTGGTGTAGTATATACCTTCAACACTCAGTTTTGGGTGTTGAAGGTACTTTTTTCTTTCTTTAAGTTTTATCTGAAGGCTTAGTCGAAGGAAGAAGGCCCAACATATATTGTTCACATTCTCTCACTTTTTTGGGAATGGGAGAAAATAAATCTTGAGTTTCCCAGCTTATATTAATTAGGAGTTGTTCTTTGGGGGAAAAAAACAAACAATAAAGACGTATCTCAATTTTTTTTTTCAAAGGAAGTTTGGTGAAAGAAAGAAAAATATCACAGGAAAGGATATAGTCTCCTACTTGTTGTCTGAGAAGTGAGGACTCCAAGGTAGATGAAGAAAGCTGGAAAACTTCCTTGTTCTTTTTGAGTCAGATCCATGGAACATAAATATGGGACCTACATTTCGGAGTATGGAGCATTTCCAAACTAACAAGGAAGTAAAAACTCTAAAGCACAAAATGATATTTAGAGATGTCAGTTTTATTTTTGTTTTGAATTCTTCACCATTTTTCTTTTACTTTAAAAACTGAAGGTGGGAGTGATGTTAGCAAGTTCAAAGGTCTGAGTCACCAATGTATGAGGTGGATTCCAGGTTTGACAAAGAAAAATTTGTAGGGTTGGTCAGGCTGTGCTCTGCTTCACCTCAAAAGCTTTTAAAACCCCAAACTGGTTAACTTGGACTAAGGCGTGAAATATACTTGTGTTTGTTTTTCAAGCTACTGTGTTGAAGGACAATTTGCAGATTATTATAATTCATAACAGATAAGCATACACGGATTAGTCTACTATTTGGGAATTGTGCAAATGGAAGTAAATAAAAGGACTTCTATAGTTTTTTTTTAAGTTAAAGCTAAATTTGCCATGTGGCTATTACCACGTGGTTTAGGTATGGTGTAAATTATATTAATGTACTTAAGCTTAAGTCATTTGTATTTAAGTTTGCCTTTCATTTATATGTAGTATATAAATCATCTTTCTAAAATGTGTTGCCAAACTTTATTTGCCAACATTTATTTGGCAAAATTATCTTGAAATTGTGATTTTTCACAAGTTAAGTACCTTACACAAATGCTATCCTGTTTTCCATCAGCTGTTTGTTTGCTGCATTTCTTTCTGTTTAAGTGCTTCAAAGTCGGATGCATTTTTTTTTTCTGGAAAAAAAAATACAGTTTTTGAGGGATCAGTTTTGAATCTCTGTATTCTATGATCTTGAATTCCAACCTTGAAAAAAATTACTTACTTTGAAAAATTATTAGCACATAATTTAAATAGAAATTATTTTTTCAAAGAGGAATTCGATTTATCTTTTTTTGTGTGTTTTTTTTTTAGAAACTCGGCAGGGAATGAGTAGACCTATGCTAAGTCTTAAATATCAGGACATTCAGTTTCCTTTCTAAGAATGGACAAAGATTTTATTTCATGGTCATATGACAGTAAGAAAATGCTTCAAGGCAGGGTGGGGGAAGGGATGGTTAAAGTTTAGCAACAAACAATTCAACATGTATTTTCCTTTAGTACTTCAATTTTTCACATACTCATGTCTGAAAAGTGACATACATTTTTGGTTGGGTTACAGTTTATTGTTAGATTCACTTATCTGGATGATTTAACAGAAATAAAAGGCCGGATTGTGATGACCTGCCTGTTGATTTGGCATCTGGAAGAACAGATGACTCTCTGGCAGCTCCCATTGGTTATTAGATGGTTGAAACAGTTCATTGATGGTCATATCGAGTGTTCTGGGCTGTGAAGTCATGGAGTTCCTCCACCTCCAAGAATGACTCATCTACCACTGGCTTCCAGTACATCATATAGCAGCTTGGTATGTCCAAAATTAATTTCTGCCAAATTTCTCTGGTACACATTTGTTTCATAATTTACCAATGTGCTACCTTTCCTATAGTGAAAGCCTTTCCTATAGTGAGCTTATGTAATTGTCGCTTTGAGCATTGTTTTAAATGTATCTATTGAGTAACTGGACAGACTGAAATTACATATCTCAGTGTACAAGACACCATTTTAATAAAATACATGCATCAAACACTTTAAAATTCAACTGTGTTTATTTGGCATCCAGACTTACCAACATTTATTATGTGACCCTGTGAACACTAATAGAGTCAATGAATGTTTGCAAATTTCTTTTAGTAGCCAAATTCTGGCTGTTTGCGAAATTAATGTGAAGAATCTTTGAAAAAAAGTATATTATTTATTCAAATCTCTTTTATTTAATCTAAAACAAAATTTGTCTCTTTCGTTTTCTTCTTCCAAAATATTTGTTGGTATATCAGAGGAAAATGGTCATGATGATTTCTACCTTATTTTGCCTGTGGTATATTTCACTGCAGCATCTCCATATATTAAAAATTTGAAACATCCCTGGCCGGTGTGGCTCAGTTAGTTGGGCATCATCCGATGCACCAGGAGGTTGCTGGTTCGATTCCTGGTCAAGGCTTGATCCCTGGTTGAGGTAAGCAGGAGGCAGCTGATTGATCAATGTTGTACTCTCACACCGATCTTTCTCTTCCCCTCTCTCTCTAAAAATCAATAAACTGTTCTTTTTTTTTTTAAAGGTTAAAAATTGGAAACAGGTGTTTGGCAGTGATACTGCAGAACTTGGCATTATGCCAGTGGCTTTTACCATAAGCCATTTTTTAATGTCCTGTCTGACTGAATAAAATGTAGTGATTGCAGTGCATCAGTACAGGGTCTCTTCTAGAATGTGTTCCCGGAAGGTAACTTGGCATATTTCATGGCAGCAGTGGCTGTCCTGTTTTGTTCAGACTCTGAACTTATTACTTTATCTGTTTAGCAATGAGGAGAAAATGCTTGTTGAGTCATTAATCATTAATGCTTGTTGAATGAGCAGGTTAATGCATTGAGTTACACTTTCATTAATTTTCTTAGTGGAGAAATGGATATTAGATCTTAAATATGAAGTTAAGTGTAGTGTTTAAT